CACCGGGGGCCAAGTGTACTTCACCGACGGAAGACAGATCCCCTCCGAAGTACTTTACTTCGAGGCCACATGGGGAAACAACGGCCACAGCTACTCGCAGTTCTTCGGCGTCTCGAACTTTGAAAACCGAGCGCTAGCCCAATCCATCGGGAACGGCGGTCCCGCCTATCCCGAAACGGGCATACCCCCTTTCAAGGACGACGGCGGCGTCCAAACCACCACCGCCACCGCCGCTACCACCGCCGTCACCGCCATCACCGAACCCACCAACGCATCCGACGGCGCCCTCGGCGGCGGACTGGACCGGCCCACATCCGAAAGCGCAAACAACAACGGCGGCGGCCTCGCCGTCGGCGCCATCATCGGCATTGCCGTCGGCTGCGGCGTCGCCGGCCTGCTCCTCATCCTAGGCCTCGCGTGGTACCTGCTCCGCCGACACCGGAAAAAGAAGGCCCTGCACTCCGCCAGCTCCACATACGGCACCGGCGCCCGCGGCGAGGAGCTCATGGCGGAGAAGGAAGCCTCCGCGGACGTCGACGTCACCCCGCACTCGCCCTACTCGGACGAGGGCGCGCCCGGCGGCGGCGGCAGCGGCGCGGGCCCCAGCGGCCACGGAGATGGGACGAACGGGGCGGGTGCGGTGGCAGCGGGGGCGATCGCGGCGCCGCCCAACCTGTCGCACCTGCAGGACCCGCCGCGGTCGTTCACGCCGTACTCGGACCGGCCCAGCGTCGGCGGCACGGCTGCAACGGCGGCGGGGACGCCCAGTCTGCGGGCTCCGTCGCTGGCGCAGACGGATGAGGTGCGCGTCAGCGTCCCTAGTCCGATACCGGGGCGGGCGACGCCGCGCGGGCTGACGACGCCATACGCGCATCTGGTGGAGGAGGGCATGACGGAGGATGAGATTCGGAGGTTGGAGGACGAGGAAAGGCAGCTGGATGCGGCGATTGAACAGGCGGGGAGGCGTTGAGTCGTCTTTTCCGGTGCTTTGTGTGTGGGTGGGGAGGTTAGGGGGGCGGGCGTTGGTTGATGCTATTGTTGGTTCATATTTATATATATATATATTTGCAGGGCAGCCGGTGTTGTACGCTAGCTGTTTGGATATGCTCGCAGTCACTATGGCCATGCTTTATAGGTAGGCTACACTTTGCGCTGGACTGTCATTCGTTTATAGATTACCATGACACGACACGGAATATACCCCTTTTAAATTGTTCGTTCTGGTCCTGAAGTGTAGAATGGTTGTAAGAGCAGCACATACATGCTCGCCTTGTTATATCTGCTTCTCTATCCCAGGTGGGAGCCTTGCTCTCACAAATTGCGCGGCACAGAGGATCGCGGAAGTGACCCCTTGCTCCTCATGGCCATATCCAGTTCGACTATTTCGCGCAAGAACAACAGTAAATATAATGGCCACTCTAAGGGGGGAAACGTGCCTGGAAAATCCAGTCCCCTTCCCAAACGCCAATTCCCAGCGCTCCTAATCATACAACGAATCACGCCTCACCACACCCTAATATAAACTCCGTCCACGAACACCTAAGTGATTTGTCGTGCCATTCCCTTCCATACTTTCCAGGCGTTCAACCGGATTGAGCATCTCCGTGATGTGTATGTGATCACCTTGTAAAGAACCTCCCGACCATGTTGCTCGCAATGCTCCCCGCCAGGTTGCCGCCACTGAAGGCGCTGCCGGCGATATTCGAGGCCTGGCTAAACTTGTCGCACCGTGAGAAGGCAAGGGTGTTGGTGATGGTCAAAACGAGTGCAATAGCTAAAAACGCACATAACGTTAGCCCTCTGTCCTCTTTCACCCCCCTAGCTCCACATGGCAACGAAAAGGGCAACCCACCAACAAGCGGCAGCCAGATGAACTTGAAGGTCAACACAGCCACGAGCGCGAGCAAGATCCAAAAGATGGGCTGGGCGTAGATGGCGATCCAGAAAAAGCGGCTGTCGGTGGGGTTGATGACCTTGGTACCGGGCTCGCTGCTCTCAAACACCCAGTGCGAGTCGCCCGTCGACGGGTCCACCTCGTTCCACCAGCGCAGCCCGACCAGTCGGCGGCCGACAATGTTCTTGAGGTAGTAGAAATCGGCGGCGAGGAGGAGGATGGTGATGATGAAGATCATGACACTGCATGGTGCATTGGGGGGTTAGCGGGGCTCGCTCTTGGGGGGTTATGGATCGTCGCATTGTCGCATTGTCACGCCGTGGTCGCCGACGAGGAGGGATGTCAAGGAAAGGGCTCTCTTACAGGTTGTCGGTAAATAGCAGGCCGAAGAGGTAGACGAGGAGGCTGGCTAGAGACGTTTGTCAGTCACGAAACATAATCAAGCCGTAATCAAAGCCGAAGCCGGGCGCAAGAAGCTAACACAGGGAGGGCGGCCATGTGACGTACAAATTCGGAATCCCAAAAAGATGAGAAGCGTGATCGGATGTGAGCTCAAGCGCCAGGTCAAAGACCCGGGCAAGGGCTGTGGTTGCTCCATTTTGAGAGTGTCGTTGCTTGCGTTGGAGACAGCTCTGGCCAGAGCTCTGTGATGTTGCCGTATCGTGATACGTAACCTTTGTCCACTTCCAACCGCCAGCTGTTAACAGCTGTTAGGATGCCAAGGAACTGACTCCGACCGCATTCGACCCAAGGTACCTATCTCACTAAGAGACAGTGGAAGCTTTCACTTATACCGACCAACAACATCACCATTTTGTATGAACCGGGGAGGGGATTTAAAAGAGCTGGATTAACAGTGATCCAACGTCAACGCCAAGCTGATATATAACTGACGACTCTGCCCCCTACCTACTTGAGTCTAAGGAAGGGTATTGTCACCACTAAGCTTTCCATGAATCTCCTGAAATACACACCATAAATAACCATGTCATCTTCCGTGTTGCCCACCCTTCGCCGGGCCTTATTCTACGGTACACTTACACCTTTACCATACCCCTATCCCCTCTCATTAACCCATCACTAACCCACCCCCAGTCCCCGCCTCCTCCCCCCGATTCCTCGCCAAGTCCCTCGTCCTAACCTCAGACAACGTAACCTACGACCTCGAGGACTCCGTAACCCCCAGCCACAAACCCGCCGCGCGCATCGCCCTCCGCGAGCACCTCACCAACCTACGCAAAACCGAAACCCACCTCGGCGAGATCGCCGTGCGCATCAACGCCGTCTCCACCGCCCACGCAATCAAGGACATCCAAGCGGTCGCCGCCCTCCCCAGCCTCGACACCATTGTGGTGCCCAAAGTCAACAGCCCCGCCGACCTCTTACTCGTCGAGGACGTGATCCGGCAGGCGGCACCAGAGCGCGCAGCCGCGGCCTCCGCAGCAGGCACCAGCGCCGACTCCCGCACGCCGCCACAACCGATCCAACTCCTCGCACTGATCGAGTCCGCGCGCGCCATCATGGACCTCCGCGAGATCTGCGGCGCGACAGGTTCACTGCGGGGGCTGATCTTCGCGGCGGAGGACTTTGCGCTGGACGCGTCGCTGCAGCGGACGGCGGGCATGGCCGAGATGGCGTACGCGCGCAGCGCCATCGTGACGGCGGCGCGGGCGTTCGGCCTCGAGAGCGTCATCGACGCCGTGTGCACCCAGCTGGGCGGGGTGCGGCCCACGGAGCAGCTGGTGGCTGAGTGTGATCTGGCGAGGAGCTTTGGGTTTAATGGGAAGCGTGCGTTGCTAGTTTCTCTTCGTTTTCTTTTTTCTTTTCCCTTTTTCTTTTTGATGGCCCTCTCCATCATGCTCTATCAGGCGAAGACCACCCTCATGACCAACTCCGTGGAGGGGACGATACAGAACTGACGTTCGCATTTACAGAGGTCATTCACCCAATACAGTTAGAAGTCGTGCACCGCCATTTCACGCCATCGCCTGGACAGGTTGAAAACGCAACCCGTGTCGTCATGGCCGAGGAGATAGCTGCGGCGGAGGGACGAGGCGCCTTCACAGTAGACGGCAAGATGATTGATGCGCCCGAGATTGCCAGAGCCCAGGCTATAATTGTCAGGGCAAAACAATGCGGGATTGACATTGACGCTGCCAGAGAGGCTGTCAAAGCTCAAATGGATCAAGTGATTGAGTAACCTGAAGATGCCTCCTTTATGTCTCGATTGACCAGAACTGGGTACCCATAAATACGAGCCACTGGCCAGTGTAACGTACATCTACACTAAAACATGTTGTTATGTTGCCAAGTTGCCCCCGGATACTCCTCGTGTTCGGCCATAGCGTACGACCTTAGTAAGGGAAGTGAAGTAGGCCGACTGAAGCCAGTTCGAGAAAAGGGAGTTGAGTTACCATCCAAGCCAGGAGTTAAAAAAACTGACTCATCGGTAAACCAATCTCTGTTGGTCAGGGCAGTGGTGTCTCCCGCCCCATCAAACTCGGCAACCCTAGATAACCTCGGCGGTTGTAGGCGAGCGGGCAACCTACATTCGCCGTAGTGGAGCGTGGAGTCGTCTCCTGTTTCTCTAGGAGGCATAGCTGCTTCATTCTCTATCCTTCGAATAAATTCCTCCAGGTTCTCGAATCCGAACTTGTCTGAAATGTCGCCGCAGTGCTTCACCCGGGGTTGGCTTTCGTAAGTGTTTTTTGGTTGAGCAGGCTCAGCATGACCCAGTTGCTGGGTAGGCTGCATCGGAGGGTACAGAAGCGATCCTGTATCCCGAGGGTGCGGCATAGTAATCTCGCGACCCAAAAGGCTGACTTCGTCAAACCGGGGACATTCGGCTCCGGGTTCGGTATCTGGCGCCTTTCGCGACACTTTTGGTACTGACCAGCTCTGTTCTTCCACAAAACTCGGCACCTGCGAAACTCCCCCCCGATTTTCTCTGAAATCCATGAGGGCATCGTATCGAGGCTCGTCATGGACATAATCCATCAGCTTCCGGAGCCTATCTAACTGTTGAGGCGGCTGACATGGCGGTTTAACCGGTGCTCTCAGACTCAAGTCTGTTTGGGCAGCGGCATCCTTTCGGGTCGTTCTTGTAGCATCCGTAGATTTCTCAGAGAGGAGTCTCCCGACTTTTGCGGCGATTCTGGGTTCAAACCTGCTTTGACGCCCGGCTGTATGACCGAGGGCTTCCGTAACGCTATGTTCAACTTGGACCCTCCGTGAAGAGGAAGACTCAGATACAACGTCTATGGGACGGCCATCGTGCTGTTGTGACCAAGCAGAGCCAGTGTCGGGCCTGTCGCTTGCACGGCTTTGAGTGACGGAACCGGAGTCACATCCTCGAACTGCCGGTAAAGAGCTTGAATAACGGGCTGGCCCCCGATCTTCCCCCGCAGTGATACTTCTATCAGATGGCTGTGAACCATGAGATGAGCCGCGGCGGCCACGACGGGTAAGCGCAAGCGAATTTTCGACGTCGCGCGAGATGCTCCGCAAACGAGGCCGGTGGGCTACCAAATCTCGTTCTTCGGTTTGGGCTTCTCTGCGTGACCTTTTCCGAGAGAAAAAAGCAGAAAGCTCTTCTAGTTCCTTGTCTTCCTTCTGGCTTTTGTTGAGCTTCGACTTTGAGACACTGGGATCCGGGCCCTTGTTCAGTATGTTTCTGGAGATGCGGCTTATTCTTTCTGCTGATTTGTTTGCTGTATCTAGTCAGCCACAGTCGTACTGATACTTGTGCTGGGTGTGTTGTGTTGTACCTTGTGCAGACATACGACTCTGGGAAATGCCGGGGCTCTCTTGCCGTGTCTAATACTCGCCGTTAGCGACGCCAACAGCATTTCTCGTATTGCTGCTCACCGAACATCTGTGTCTAGAGCTTTGGCGTTTCCCTCCGGTGGCCTCTTTCTGTGTGTGTTCTCGAGACTCCTGATCTAAAACCCTCTTCTTTGTTTCGCGCGCCTTGTAGTCATATTTATCCTCTCGAGTCTTGTGGCGCGCCCTCTTCTCAAACCGGTACTCAATGTGCTTGGCCCTGTCCGGGGGTGGAGGAGACTCTAGGAGAGGCCTTGATCTTTTTCTGTGATTGTTTCCGTGAGTCTCGAACCAGAACTGCTCCGTGAGTTGAACTGGCTCCTTCTCGTAGCTGGTTACTGAGGGACGGGAATGGCGAGACTGTGTTTGTTGCAACCATGACTGGACGAATTCGTCGTTTTTCTCCTTAGATCGAGGGACTGGGCCTTTCCCCAGAGCCTCGTGGCACGTAATAATCTCGGCGGGTCGCTGCTGTCTCTTCCCCCGAGTTTCTCTCTGGCTCCTGGTATAGTCGTCGCGTGTGCGGCGCTCATGGGTGCCTTGATAGCCGTGGCGTCTCTGAGATGTTCCTGATGAGTGTAATCGTAGGAATTCCATGGCAATGGCGCAGATTTGACGATGGTTCCTTGTGGTAAACTGCTGACTGTTCTTGGTTGACGGTGGTGGCACGAGAGAACAATGGTGAAGTCCTCCCACCTCCTGCCAAACCTGCCTCATTTTTCTCCATCGAGCCTTCCTCTCCCAGTACTTTGGGTCTTAGTTTTGAGAATAGTCCGAGTACCCAAGATATAAATAATAGGAAGGAACCCTAGGGACTTACCTAAGAGGTACCTACCTCAAATGCCTTCCATAGGTAGTAAGATATACACATTTTCATCCTACAACATACCCCAGGTTGCGATCATAGGACCTTAGATGAACCTGCTCACATCGATTGGCACATAGTCAGTAGGTTGCTAGCATCATAACATCTTTGGCCAAAAAAGCAAAAGCTCACCGGCCAGCCCCCTTCGCGGTCGAAAGGAGGTAGCCGGCTACGAAACCCCCTGAGAGGGTTTACTTCGTGTGCCCAGTTGCAGCCCGGTGATACCCCGTCGGACCGATGCAGACTGCGTATTTATTTCTGAAGCGGAGGACTCTATCGGCGGCCCGATACCTCTCAGAGTACCCACGGTAGCATCATGGTTCGAACCTATAACCTCTCCTTACAGCCGAGATTTGAGGATGGTGAACTATAGCTGACCCGTGGGCCGAGGGCCACTGCTTAACCGCTGGGCTATCCAGTTAGGCGATGGTCCTCGTGAGAAACCGACTCCTCGCTCCTTCGTTATATTGCGCAGACGGCCTTGACAGATATCAGCACTCTTTCTAGGTACCACCTAAGCCTGGAACTACCCATTATGTGCTGGTGTTTTCCCCGCCAACTCACATCGCCAACTTATACCGAAACTCTCAGCGCTTTACTCCACTCCCCGAAAACTACCAGTCCTCAGGCCATGATCCCAACCCGATTACACTTATATTGTACAAACCATTTGCAGCGGCCATTTTCTAATTATGGCAACGCGGCTAATTGCACCTTCTCCACTTGCTATAAGTTGCTTTCTGTGGAAGCATACATGTATGTACCTCAAACAACATCAATCAATCGACTACACCGAAACCTCGGTCCAGTCACTGACGGAGCGAAGCGCTGACGAAGTCTTTGACAAGACCCCCCGACTTCCCTATAACCTTCGTCTTCCGAGTTCGATCGCTGGTTGTTTTCAACCTCAACTGCCTTGTGCTCCGAACCCGCACCGCGATAAAAGGGACCGAAGGCTTGGCTCGTTGTCTTGTGTCAACCAACACATCCCGACCCAGGGAAGACGCCGGCATACGCTTCAGAACCATGCAAACCAAACCGCAGGGGGCTCGTGCCGTCGTTGTCGCTTTCTCCCGTTGTCGGCTCCCAACGGACGAATGATCCTCAAAACCAATGGCCGTGCGCTTTCTCCAGATGAACCATGCAGCCGATGCCTGCATGTCGAGATGCACAAGCGGAAACAGCCAGTGGGATGCATCACCGAGATGGGCGACCGTTGGATGAACCCCCTTGCCCGTTTGGGCAACTTGCAGCCAGGTTCCGGCTCCGCAATTCCACGTCGGGACGACGACCCACGACTTATCGCCATGGACCAAACCCAAGTGCTCGCGGCCGTGAGGATGGATTTGAGCAGTATTGCTATTGTATAAGGTCGGTCATCTTCCGTGACGAGAGCTGCCTTAACGAAGTCCAAGGGCATCGTCTCCGACCCCGAAGCTTGGAGCACATCGTGTTTTAGGCAATGCCGGGCCTAGCCCTGCTAGCTTGGCCGGCTTTCGCGCTGCTAACCCCAGAAGATGATGGGTTTCTCCGCCAAATCAGGCTCTCTCCAGAGCCGCAAAAGTTTGGGTCAGACGACGCCGTGGTACAAAATACTTGGCTTCGACGGCGACCTGGTGGAAGTTGGGCGGTTAATAGGGTGATCGACGACGGGATTATGGAAGGGGCACAGGGGTCCCTCAAAGGCCCCATGCCCTGAACGGGGCAGGTCCACATCGCGCGGTGTTATGACGGACACCATACTGCGTAGGGCTTAGATCGTGCGGAACGCCTGGTGTGTCAAATTCAACAAGCCTACCAATCAAAGGAAGCGCCGGTTTCCTCCTTTCCCCGATGCATTCACGCATCTCGTTCGTCTTCCACACACACAGCCCGCGTGCCGGGACTCAAAACAGCACTTGGTTAAACATCTCGTGTCCCCGTGGCGCCGGGGCACGAGAGCCAAATCCCGGACGGCGCTGTCCTGGAACGGAGGGTTGTAGGCGTATCCGTCCCGAGCTGCCCGCATCTCGGGATCATCTGAACTGAAGAGATCGGCTTGTCAGTTTCACTTCTCGGATCATCTGCTGATACGACGTGGTATTCCGCCCAGGACACGTGGAATCCTTCACTTGAGCCATCGAGACATAACAATCGCAAAGGCATGGTGTCGACGAGTCTAAAATGGCCAAATGACCGACATAATGGGTTTCATAACCAGCACTTCAAAATGCTTTTCGTGGGTTTCGCATCTGCCTGGAATCTCCAAACCATGTTTCATGCCAATATCCACTTGCCTCCTGCGGTCAATCTTGATGCGGCCGATCTCTTGCCCTACCAATGGCACCTTTTCCAGAACCCGGATACTTTCCCGCGTGCGCAAAAGAACGCGTATTCGGGCCTTGAATGCACGCCATCTCTAACTAACTGGACATAAGTTGTGGGCATTCTGTTTGGTGGGGTGTGAGACCTCGATCAACCGCCGAGATATTCTCGGTTTCCGGAATCAGCAACCCTCGGTGCCCCCTGTTCCATGGGACCCCCCAGGGCAAACCCCAAGCTTCCCCAGACCCCCTAGGCAGCGGCTTTCGGATCCATGCCCCTGCTCCCGATCACCGTTTATGGTCCAGGACTCGGGACTGGGTTTAGGCCCCTCCCAGGGCCCTTCGTCAACGAGTGACCTCGAGATGGATGGCGCTGCATAATCAAGGTGCATATTTGCCAATGCCGGCAAAATCACTACAATGCCTTGAGCATGTCGGCGTTTTCCCCCCAGGGCCAGCCAGATGGTGGGTGTTGCCTCTTGGAAAACCCGGATGGGCGGGCCTGGGATCATCCTTCATAGACAATTCTGGCTGCCTTGGAGTAAAGACGCCGTTGTGAGCCGTACTGTGTACGTCCATGCACCGAATCAGGCCCGACTGCAAATTGCAAGGACACCGGCAGGGGAGTATCGCTGGCTGTGGTGTGGGGCCTGGTTCTGCAGATGGTTCGGGGGGTTGAATGGCCTCCAGAGATGTTCGGCGAGAACTGAAGCTTGACCGCTGGCCAATCCTAACGTCGGAGAGTTGGTTTGTCGCAGCTCTGTGGATGGGTTGTCGTTGTCAACCCCCTTCCAGGCCTGTTCCGCCGCAGGGTGCAAGCGTTACACCCCCATGCAGCAGCCCTGGTCGGACGTCGTTCTGCGGTTGTGGTTCCCGTGGTCCGTTTGATGCTTGTCTGGACCTGGCTTTTCCAACATTGTCATGCTTGTCGAAACATTGACCGGGGAAATGGCAAGCGTGCTCAGGAGCCGGCAGGGGATAGAGAAACTCAAAGGAGACTGGTGGCTCTGTCATGGTCATGGGCAGAGCCAGGGGGTTTATTCTCGTCCTTCCCCAGGAATTCCCGCTGGCATATAAGATGGGTAGCATCAATGCCGGCGGCTCTTGCCTTTCCCTTCCTTCCCGAGTTCTCTTCCCTCCCCCTCCCCTCCAACCCAACCAACCGGCTTTGATAGGGAGACTGGAGAATCCTTGACCCCTTACCACATAACGCAGCTTCGCTAACACCCCGCTGTTCGCTGGCCACTGGCACTGTCCGGTTCCCCCTCTACCACAGTTGAGCAGCCTCGCTTGGAGAAACTAAGGGCTGCGACTTAATCGAAGCCATCCCTCCTCTCCGGCTGAAGTCATCGAACCACTGGTCTGACGACATCCCCAACCGTTACCGGGCGAGAGGAGTTCATCCTCCGGTAAGACGAGCCCCGTCCCTCATCTTGCTAAGCGCCAGAAAACCGTGGTAGTCCCCCGCCTTTATCGGGCAGTTCAACACGCGTCACATCCCTCGTGAAGTTTCCTGTTCCCTTGATCCCTGGATATTCCCCTTTTTAATCCCCACCTAGCACTTGCCAGAAACACAAACAAACTTGACCACACTTGTTCTTTTTGACTTGCTGGAGAAACATCAACGCATCCACCAACAACCGGCTGACGAAACAACCCCAGGAATTCAAGCCATTCCAACCAAGATGTCAAAATTATTTATCGGGTAAGAAATTGTGGATTTAAACACCGGTTTTCCCACGCGAGTCGCTGGCCACTGACGTAGTCATAGCGGCCTTGCATGGCACACGGAGGAGCCGACCTTGAGACAAAAGTTTGAAGAGTTCGGAGTGGTGGAAGAAGCGGTACGTTATCTGCTGTTTTCCATTTGATGCCGCCTCATCATCCTTGAACGAACGAACCTGACCCCTCGCCAGGTCGTCGTCAAAGACCGCGACACTGGTCGTAGCAGAGGATTCGGTTTTGTGCGCTATACCAATGAGGGCGACGCCATCAAAGCCATCGAGGCCATGAACAACGTCGAGTAAGCCAGCTCAGCACAGCCCACCCCCTCCCCAACCCCCCGCTCTAGCTAGCCACTGACTAGTCTCCCCAGCTTCGACGGTCGGCAGATCCGTGTCGACAAAGCCTCGGACACTGGCCCTAAGGGAGGCGGTGCCGGCCGAGGTGGTATGTACTCTCGGGGCGGGTACGGAGCCATGCCAGTCGCCGGCGGCCCCATCGCCTACGGCACGCAGCAACCGTACGGAATGCCGCAGGCCATGTACCAGCAACCCTACGGGCGTGGCTACGCCCCGGCCGCGTACACCATGCCCCCGCAAGGTATGTGAAGTGAAACAGAAAAAAAAAAGCAAGAAAGCTGCAACTTTGCAAATGAAAGTGTTAACGGAAATGATAGCGTGGCCGGCGAACCCCAACCCCTACGGCTACCCCGACCCGAACCAGCAAATGCAACAACAACCCCAGCCGCCGAACCCAGGCCACGGACAGGGCGGGTATTAAAAGGGGCACTTGCCGCCGGGTTGGGTGAGCCCACTGAAAACCCACCTGGCGAAGGGCACCAGCGAGCGCAGGAACCGATAGAGTATTCGACGGCGAGAGACGAGTTTTTTTTTCCTTTTTACATACCTGGAGATCCATCCATCCCCCTTTCTCTTTTGCCATTTTTGAAAGCTCGCCTGATATTGCCGGTCGAGGATGCTGTACGATCAGACGTTGTTGTTGCTCTGTGATGATCGACATCCCATGATACCCCTTGCGTGCTCTGTTCTATTCTTCTCTCTCGGCATCACCAGCTGCTTGGCGCCAACTTTTCTGGCCTTTCATAACGAGGGGAGTTGAGCGAGGCCTAGGTTCCTGGAAGTAAACTCTCCTCTATTATTTTATCTTCTGATCTTCCCCTACAATGTTTATTCCTTGGGTTTCGTTGCTGCTTTGACTGCTTTGTCTTTGTTTTGCGTTTCCAAGTTCGATACCGCGGCGGCGGATTTGGGGGACGGGGGACGGGGGGTTGGAATCAAGATGGGCAGGGGCAGGAAACATGGACAGAATGACTGACGAGGAAAATAACACGATGGATCCGGGCCTCACCGAGCTCCCACGCTTGCGGACATGGGAGGGGACCTAATTCGATGTTGAGTCTTACGTTATTATGGCAGGGCGTGTAGGTTCCGGCGGGAGGCCGAGCTGGCTGGGGATATCCGTAAGAGAGGGGGGTACGGAAGGGATGGGAAGACGGGGAGGGGTGGGAGCCAACAAAACGGTGGCCGTCAACAGGGCAGTCTGGGCCGAACCAAGATGGGGGATGTGGGGATGGGGAGGGAGGGAACTCGTAGCTGCTGTTTCGTTCTGCTTTTCTTTCATCTCCTCGACAATGTTTTCTTGAACTTTGCCTCCATCACGAAGTCTTCTCCGTCTCCTCCTGCTCATCTATGCTGCTGACCTTTCTGAAGTCGTGGTGCTGCTCATGATGCTGCTGCTCCCGCCGCAGCACCGACGGCGACGGCTGTTCCGGACCGGCACCGACGCCAACGCCAACGCCAACATCGACAGGAGCGGGCGGGCCGGAGATCTCTTTCTTTCCTTCCGCCGCCGCCGCTTCCTCGCGAGCGGCGACCGCCCGGAGCCGGTTCGACAGATCCGTGACGTGCTCGTCGCCGCTCTCCGGGCTCAGCTCGTCCAGCGCCGCCTCCAGCCCCCACAGGTAGTCCCGATTTGGCCCGCTCGGTCCGGTGCTGCGGTAGATGTGCTCGGCGAGCTGCTGCGGGTCTTGCGGGCCGACGAACTGGTCGTTGTCGGGCGTGCCGATGTAGACCAACGTCCGGATCGGGCCGGGGTGGTGGTGGATACCCTCGTGTTGGGGTTGGGGTTGGGCTGAGTCGGCGGCTGTAGTGATGGTGGTAGCAGGGTGGAAGGGCGTGTAGTGAATCGTGTACCCGTTGATCTCGCGGATGTCGAGGTATTCCTTGACCTCGGCGACGCGGTCGGGCGTGATGCGGTAGGCCACGCCCCAAACCTTGTCCGGGGCCGAGTCATGGTGGTCGGTCAGCTGCTCCCAGTAGGAACGCGAGATCAAGGTGACGACGCGGCCCGGCGCTTCAGGGGTACCGCGGTGGTCCTGGCTGGAGGAGGAGGGCGAGGACAGGTTAGCGGGTGGTTGAGTATGTTGGGGAGAGAGATAATTCGGGTTTGAGGATGGAGGAAGAAGGTAGCTGTGATGATGATGGTGCCAATGATAGGTTTAAAATCTAACAAGCGGATGATAACGCCGAGACACAAGCATCTGCGGTTGAAAAACCATGAAAAGAAAACGAGTGAGGCTGAAATACCTTGCCTATAGAACAATCAGTATGGGGAGAGCAGGGGAGAGGCCAGCGGACTGGCCGAGGGGGCTGGAATGGGGTAGGTATTTTGATGAGCAAATGGTCAAGGGAGGGGGGGGAGGCGGGAACGGAGGAAAGGGGGAAAGGGGGCGGCAGGGTGACAGGGAAAGGGAGGAGATGCAGCACGGGGCGCGGGATGGCAGCACTGCGAGACCATGTTTTCCGTACCTGCCAGAATCTCCGGACATAGCCCGTCACCCAGCCTGGGATTCGCCTATCTGGACCTGGTCAGCTCCCGCCTTGCCGAGCCGGATGATCAGCCCGAGGGGGACTGTTGGTTTGGCTGAGAGATTAGTTGGGGGTTGGGGGTTGGGAAGAAAGTTACCAAAATGCGGAGGGGGTTTCCAGATCAAGCTCCTGTAGAGCCAGACATCAGTTCTCATTCCCAGTTATAACAAGGTAAATAATAATAAGTCCATCACGGTTCACCCACCCATAACCAAACAGCCAGAATTCATCTGCTTCTGCGGCAGTATCTTGGGCCGACATCCTAGGAACGGGACAGAGAAGACAAGAAGATACTGAATCTGGGTAAAAAAAAGCCCCTGAAAAAGAGGAAGCGTGCTTCTCCGGTGTGATGCTCGTGAGAATCGAGTCTAGTCGCCTATAGAAATACCCCCGATGGTCCAAATCGAGTCAACTTGAAGTTTGATGTTCCCCCCTTGAAGTGTAAGCGAAAGGGAGAAAGCGCTACTGTCGGGTATCTATCGATTTAAGACACATTCATTCCTTTTTGGCTCTCTTACATAACCTTGCAACACGTGGAAGGGAAGGAGCCCCGGAACTTGCGGTCAATATCCAGGGCAGGCGCTGCAAGTCATCGTTAGTGGAAACGGTTGGTGGAGACTGGGGTTGCTGGCACGGGAGCGTGCTTCGGCCCGTTGTATCGCCTCATTTGGGATTTTGGTGTGCGCAGCCTTAGTAGTGTAGGGCTGAATCGCATGGCATTTGTTGCTTTTTGATAACTGCCCCTGATCCATCATCGGTTCCCCTTTCGGACGAGGCTTATTCGTTAACTGGGTTACCACTAGTCCATGCTAATTAGCTACTCTGAAAAGACGACTACCGCATTGTGAGTAACATATTAGCTACGCTGTATGCTGGAGGTAGGTGATGTATGCAGCCTTTGATACACGACCATGTGTGTCGATATCCCCCTTCGAGTTTAGAAGAAAATTGATGTCAAGCTTTCTTACGGTGTCACTCCAAGATCCGAAACTCGGGTTGCCAGGTCATGAAGCTCCCGAGGACCCTGCAGAAGCCCAGCTCAGGAAGGCCCTGAACGACTAGGTAGTGGGTCCGCGGGGCGATTGGGGTCAGGCGCTTCGTATACGTATAAATTACATACATCTTTACGTTGGAATCGCTGTCGCTCACCAGGTGTAAGTTACCATGTTAGGTACCTTAGCCAGGCTTTTCTGTGTCCCTTCTTTCCACTGTAGGTTACCGAGCCCGAGTAAGGCTTCGCCACGGCGTTTGAGATTCCTGATGGCGCCTTTTTCTTGGTAGCTTATTGTGATATCTGCCCGTTGCCCGAAACCTTACCGGTACCCATGAACGTCACCGAGCTTTCACCGCGCCACGAGGTAACACGCGTATCCTTTACTCGGCACCCCGCCCGAAGTCCTAGGTTGGTAACCAGGACACGAGTTCAAGATTTTGCGCAGCAAGAAAAACGGATTAAACGAAGGCCTTCGAATAGACGAATACCAAGTCTCTTGTTCTCCACTCGGGCAGCTTGCCAAGGTGTTGCGGCGGCGTGTGCTGCAGCAAGTTGCGGCTGAGTCGGCACGATGAATTGAAGTGCAGTTGTAACTGCCCTGGTTAAATACCACCTGTTCCTCCGACCTACCTTTGCTTGCCGTTGCCTTGCAGAAGGTGAGACTGATCCTCCATACACCACCAAACACACACCAACACCAGAACCCAACGTCGCAACGAGAACGACAACTACGATTCTGTGCTTTTACCTAGTCGCAACCAACACACATCTGCAAAGATGGCTTATAATAGGCCCTACAACCCGGATGAGCTACCCAGGTGAGTCGATGCGGAGAATGCAAAGGCCGTCGCAAACTGATTTGGTTTCGCATGTGCTGGGAAGCCCCGCCCTCGCGATAACTGATCCATTGCCACCCCCTCGCAACCGTCAGTGAACTCTTTTGCTAACATTGCGTTTAGATTTGCGGAGCCCGAACAAGTGAGCCTCATCCTCTTCCCTCTTTCGTTTACCAACTTCGCTTCTCGCTTGTCTTGGAAGCTAATCCTCTCTTTTGCTCGCTCCAGAAAGGAAACCCCCGGTCTCCAGCCTCAGCCCAACCGCAATCTTCAAGATACGAAAACAAGCCTCCTCCACCGCGTCCAGCCGAGCACAGGGGCTCTGGTGACCCGTACAGTTCCCACCAAGGCCGGCTATCGCCTAGGCAAACAGCGCCCCCCGATCGTTTCGGAATGAGCCCACCTCCGAGTGCCGGGGGCGGCCGTCCCCTCCACCACAACCTCCCTCCCGCCAACTCGCGGCCGCCCCCAAGCCCTGCCCCGCGCGATAGCACTGCCGACCCTACCTTGCTACCACTCTTCAGAGCTGTGGATAAGGATGGTGAGTTGTGGAGAGTTCGCGGGGACAACCAGTCGGTTTGCTAACACACATCGCTTGCTCAGGCACCGGCCAACTATCGGAGCGCGAACTCTCGGCAGCCCTCGTCAACGGTGACTGGACGGCCTTCGACCCGCAAACGGTTCGCATGATGATCCGCATGTTCGACAGCGACCGCAGTGGCACCATAGGCTTTGAGGAGTTCTGCGGCCTGTGGTCGTTCCTAGCCTCGTGGCGTTCGCTCTTCGACCGCTTCGACGCGGACCGGTCCGGCAACATCAGCCTAGACGAGTTCAACAACGCCCTCGTCGCGTTCCGTTACCGGTTGAGCGAGCGTTTTGTCGAGATTCTATTCCGTACCTATGACAAGCGCAACGAGGGTGTCATGAGCTTCGACCTGTTTGTGCAGGCCTGCATCAGCCTCAAGCGCATGACAGACGTGTTCAAGCGGTACGACGACGATCGGGACGGCTACATCACGTTGAGCTTTGAGGACTTCTTGATCGAAATCCTGCGCCAGCTGAGATAGGAGACTGATGTTGGCTTTTCATTTCCGACGTGGTAATTTGGCTACAGCTTTTTGGCTCCGAATTGCTAGGCCCTATGAGTCTTCATTTTAGTTCAGGAAGTAATTTTACATACAGACGAAATGAACGAAATTGATACCCGAGCTGCCACAAAAAGCTTTCTCACTATCACGTTGTTCTAACATAGTACCAGAGCGGGTATTTTTAGACCAGCATTCGAGGCTTTGCATGCAGCAGAAAAGCTAGATTGCAACTGGGGAGAATCAATATCAAAAGGCGTTATCACTGCAGTCGACTTACACTACATGTCAAAACAGGGCCAGTGCGAACGCGCGCCCATTACATGCCGGCAGACATCACGTCAGGATCAGGCCCACCGCACTAGGAATAGCTCATTCAACTTCTCTACTCGTTTCCAAAATGGAAACAAACTTACCATTCTCTCTGTATCTCTTCGCCGTACCATCCCCATCCGCGATATTGGATCTGTCGGACGGAACAGGGCAGCAGGTTGGAGGCTATTTTGCTGCAGTCTGCCGGCTGGAGTGTTGGCACATCCCTCCGCGGCCTCTGCTCTCGCCACGTTCACGCCCATGTCGTGGGCCCTGACCCCGGACACGAACGCGCGGACCATCAACGACCGGCTCGGCACCGCGGCCTGGGGGTAGGTTGCGGGTCGTCAGGCAGCTGTTGCTGCTGGGTTGTGGTGTTGCCAGCTCGATCAAGCCCCCCCGTTGTGGGCGAGTGGTTGTGGACATGTGACTCTGTTGGTGAGCGTTTGAGCATTGGGTAATAAGACAAATTGGGATAGAATAAATAACAACTAGTTAATCGTATTTTCACTCCATCTCATTTTTTTCGCCTTCACATATTTTGTTTTTCTTCCTTTTTTTCACCTCTAATATTCTATCTCCCCTCCGTTTCTTTGTTGTTAGTTAAAACAAGATCTCGGTCAAGAGCTCCGGGTCCTCGGTCGCATGGGCCATGTCACCATGTTTTATTCACACTGTGTACATGAACAAAGCGAGGTAAGGTACTTCGTACAGCTCGACACTTTTAGATTGTCTCCTTTGACTATTATTCCTCCAATTTGTTTCCGGCGTGGTTTCAATAGTATGGTGACAGTCAATTGGCACCTACCTACCTGACTAACTACTCGTTGAATTATGGGCGCATGAACGGCACGGGGCTAGAGCTGACAAGTGCTGTGTGCGGTAATGGGGACCTGAAGTTCCGTCGGCACCTCCGAGAACAGAACTCGGAAGCTGGGATCGAGGAGCCAGCTTTCCGGGCCCTGGGACCATGCTTGCACTGGCCCCGCTCCCCCCCGCTCTCCTATTCGAGGAGTCCCGTCCATTGTCCTGCTCTCACCCGCAGGTCATCGCCACCACTCACCCTCCTTATCCTTCGAAACGCCGCCTGTCACACCTGCGAGGAGCTTGAGCTCTCTCTCTTCATGGCCGCAATCCCCGATCGCACCATCTCTGAGTTCTGAGCCAACAACGGTCGAATGTGTTGGTTTTTGGTGTCGCAGACCACTTACACGTCAATTCCAAGACTCGCTTCGATCACACCTGCGGATTAGTTACTGTCTGATAAGATAGAAGCTTCCTCGAGTCCTTCTTGTCCGGCCCCCCCGCCGCAAGCACCCTTTGACGACCTTCCCTACGCCGCTTGGCGGGGTTTCGATTATAGAAACCTCCAATATGCCGCCGAGGTCATCTCTCACGTCGTCTTTTTCAATCACCGATGCGAATAACGAAGTTGTCTGCCCGCTACGCAACCAGGATGGCTCGAGCTGCCGCAAGCGCTGCATCGGGGTGAGTCGTCACTAGTCCCATCTTGCTTCATGTCGCCACCCGAATCGAATTCCCTGCAAAGAAACTGGTACAGCACCTCGGGTCGCATGAGACTGACGCAGTACAAATTTTAGGAGAAGCGCTACCGCTCAATGCAGGAGCACATACGCCGGGCGCACCCAGAGCACTACATCGCCAAACTACCTGCGACCGAGGAGAGCTTCCTGGCTATGATCAACACCTCGCCGAGCGAACGACCCCAACCCCAGCCAACTTCGGGACCACCCCATCACCAAGCCAAAGGGCCTATGCACGGCTTCCGGCGAGATGAATCCAATGGCCCCGGCACGCCACGGAGATTCGAGGATTATTCCGGGGGAACTATGTTTCCCGCTGCTGCAGCGCTCGCCCAGCTGCACAATAATCATAAAAGCGACTCGGGGTGGGAGTCAGACCGGGTAAGTAACTTTTCTTAGCCTTCGGATTGGGCAAGATTACTGACTCTAGCCGACAGGAATGGCACTCTGACACAGAAGGGGCAAGACGACGGCCGAGGTCTTCCGTCGAGTTGCCACCAATACAATTCTCGCCCGCGGATATCACCAGCGCGCCGCTTCCTGGTTTTGATTCTCCCCGGCAGCGCGATCTCCTTCCCTCAATGATAAACCGTTCACCTCCAGGGCGCTCATCTACACTCCCGCCACTCCCCCGGCCGCTGGGGCCAGGCCGACCGCGGAAACAATCAATTTCCAAGCGGGGTCACCATAGGAGGAAATCCAAAGCGCCTGGGTCCGATTGGCTTCGCCGCATGCAGAACGAGGGAACTCCCGACCTATTACGGCCCGGAGGTGGTCACGATAGAAAGGCCCTCTCAGCCGAGCCAGGTAGTCGTTGGGAGGATCTGATCTATGCGGCGGCATCGGCAACGGAAGACATAGATGAGGACAGAACTCCAGTGAGTCCCAAGTTCGGTTCGGTGCTCGACCCGCGCCTGACGAACCCGAGCCAGATGCCGCAATCGCCCGTTTCTATCCAGAGGTCGTCCCTGCCGCCTTTCACTCAACAGGCCTTCTCAAATTACCGGGCATCCCCTCTGCAACCAGCTCTCACCCCTCCATCCTGCAACCCTGAAGCTCCTGACGCGTTCCCGTCGGTCGAGAGCGGCGAAAGCGGGAACACTTTCCATATCGACTCGCACGGTTTAACTTCAGACTCCTCGCCCAGCTATTCGTCCCAGAACACGCAGATATACTGCGCCGCCTGCCAGAACATTTCGCTTCTAAGGGAGTCGTACGCCTGTACCGAGTGCATCTGCGGCCTCTGCCAAGCCTGTGTTGACGTCCTGATAAGCGAGCAAGGCGCGCGCAGAAAATGTCCTCGGTGTGCTACCATAGGAGGTCGTTTTAAACCGTTCCAGCTCGATATTCGGTAGTCACCGGATGCTCCTTGACGGACGACTCATATATATTTCCAGATCCAGGGCACAGACCCGTCTCCCTTTTATCCCAATCCATCTATTCCCCGTTTTCTCTCTTTACCCCAACAACACTGCAGCACAGATCTGGCGTCATATTTCACTGGTATATAGCGGCCATTTCGAAGCCGACAGCATATTCAGGGAGGCATTACGGTACCTGGGCAACCATGGCGATGGTTCGGCTATATTTGGCTTTGGGCAATGTTTCGACGACTTACGACAAGCCCGACGCCTTGTGCCGATACGGGAGCAATCAACACATGAGATGAGGGTGGTATTTTCTTTTCTTTTCTTTTTTTTTTTTTTTTTGCCTTTTGCTCGGGATAGTTCACGACATTTAATTATCCTCGAGAGCGGCTCGGAAACGGGTTTCCTGCATCACGGGTTGGCGTCCTGGCGTTTTGAAATTTGTTACGAAGGGCAGGTCGGGAGGAGATCTTGTTTCCCACGTTACGTTTAAACTTGCTCCAGGTTGGATAGTATCGGCGTTCTTCTGCTTTTCATTATCGATGGACGGCTAGTCCGTGCCACAGGGTGTTGACCATGGGACGAAGAGTCTGTGAGCGGTCCTTTGATGACCGCTGGCACCTTCGGGTTGACCACATTTGTCCGTCCCAAGATATACGTTACTATAGCTGCGCGACGATTACCTACTACGTAAGCCGGAATTAAGGCTTATGTATGGGATAGGTTGATAGCTACATCTCACATTTTCTGGGTAGAAAATACAGATGCCTTTTTTTTTTTTTTTTTTTTTTTTTTTTTTTTTCCCACCTCGAGACCTCTCAGTTGCCCAGCTGGATACCCCTCTGCCTCATCCATTCGCCTGCAGTCAGCACCACTTCGCCCTTCCTAGCGAGATCGGCGGAGAACTTCCCAGCCACCTGGAGGGCTCCGGCCTTGGTGCGGTCATCGAACTGGGCGAGCGCCCTCATCGGCACGTCATTGTGGGGCCGCACAAAGTACACCACGCTGTACCGGTCCGCGCCGGCCTGCTCGCCCGGCGAGGGCACCACCCGGTGCTTGGCCGACTTGAGCGCGCCGTTGGTAAAGGTCACCATTGCGTCCCCTGCAGTGGGGCGGGTAATGATAGAGGGGTTTGGTTAGTGCGGTGGTGCTTGTGGTTTGTGGTGGTGGTTGATGTGTATTGTATTCTTCAAAAAAGGAACTGCTGAGAGAAACTGACTCGCTCACGGGGGTTTTAAGGGGGGGGGGTTGAGGGGGGATTACGAAAGGAGGGGGAGCGGGGTATACAGTACCTAGATTGACGATCGCATGTCCTGGCAAGGGTTTCACCCATTGCCATTCCCGCTGCACCACTTCTCGTTCTCCTCCTCCTCCTCCTTCCCTGCCGTCCGTGGTTGCGGTGTTGGCGGTATCGATATGGGACTCAACCTGCAGCCCGCCAAGCCAGTTGAAGAGGACTGTGACGCTGCCGAAGTCGGTGTGGCTCGGCAGGCCGAGCGTCGAGGAGGAGACGCTGCCGTCCGGGTTGGGCGGTGACGGCGGTTTGTGTGTCAAACGACAGTGGTCGCCTGAGGGCTGGTCGAAGCGGTTGAGGTGGTCAAACGAGTCGGCCGGGAGGCCCAACTGCGAGGCGAGCGTGCGCAGGACGAGCAGGCCGCAGTCGTGGCCGCGGCGGGTGAAGGATTGGAAGAGCGGGGTGTGAGTGGTGATTTCGGGCGGGTAGGTTATGGGAGTGCCCCGGATGTTCTCTCGGGCTATGTTGTGTACGTAGTCTTTGCTAACGCAGAAGAATTCGGTTGTGTCGCGCCGCTGGTCGCGGTCGGTTGTCTTGACTGTGCCAGCCGCTTTGTACCCGAAGAGGGAGACGCCGCGCTCGAGGGCGTGAGGGAGCTTCTCATGCAGGGGCAGGGCGAATGCTTCCTTGGCAACGGCGTGGAGCTGATCTGCTTCAGCGAGGAAGGCTTTGCCTTGCGGTGTGTCCTGCAGATTCAGGTACAAGAAGCCGTGCGTCTTGGCCGCTGTAAGCAAACGGACGGCTTCGTCATTGTCGCCGTCGAGTAGCTTTGCATGTGAAATGATGGCGATTGGCGCAAGAGGGAGGCCCTCGGGGAAGGGCGGGATGTCATCAAATGGTGAGTTCATGGCTGTCGTGTTTGTATGTACTTGTTTGGTGTTGTTGGTGATGTAGCCGCTTTTGGTTGGTGGTTTGGGGGCGGATGCCTGATGCAAATCCCAACCAGCATGCAACCAGCCCCTCCCCCTCTCCCCCTCCATCGCTGGCCTGCCCTTTGTGATCACTCAAACCTGGTTCAAGCTCGAATGTTACCAAGCCAACTGAGTGCCTTGTCTCAGGCTCCCACGCCCATTTCGACTAGTAGAAATTGACAACTCTAGGCAAACGCCGCACCCGCCTGGGGTTTGGGGGCTTTTACTTGGCCAACAGCAAACCTGAGGTGCAGAGTGCAGATTTTTTGACGGGGTGCTGCAGATGCTCAGAATCTCTGTATCCCCCGTTTTTGAAGTTGAGGGGGTTCAGATGAAAGATAAATGGGGGGGGGGGTTGGCTGCACCTTCCTGCACTGAATGTTTGCAATTCCTGAACCTGCCACCTCGATAACAACCTCAACACTTGCTCTCCACAAATCTCAGTCCAAATACCTACTTCACCAACAACTTGAAGCTACTCACCAAACTCTCACTACCAAACCAACCCAGTCGGTAAATCGTCATCATGGGGACCCGGCATCTCATTTGGTAAGTCTTTCATATTGTCTTGTTTCCGTTATATCCCCACTTGCTGCCGAATTGTCCTGCATCCATGGGAAAGCAGGGAATAAAATGAAGACAACGCGAAAGGGAAAAAGAAAACAAGGAAACGGGATGGCTGACAAGTTGCAGCGTCTTTTGGAAGGGCAAATGGTTCATCGCCCAGTACGGCCAGTTCGATGGCTACCCCGAAGGTCAGGGCGCCAAGATCTTTAACTTCCTGTCATTCGCCCGCAACGTCGAGAACCTCAAGGCCGGCCTGGAGAATCACATTTACGAGCCGACGGAGGATGAGATAACCGCCATCTGGAATGAAGGCGAAGCCTGGGACGACAACCAACACGAGCAAAACCTTAGGTTCAACCCCACCATGTACGGCGTCAGGAAGCTTTATCCCAGCATGGCGCGGGAAACCTCTGCTGGCATTCTGGGCATCATCGCTCGGGCGGGCCAGACCGAGGAGACGGATGGTGCTGAAGACGACAAGGAAAAGAAAGTAAAGAAGATCCCCGTGAAGCTAGAGCTGGAATTCGCAAATACGCTCTTTTGCGAGTGGGCCTATGTTGTCGACCTCGACAAGGAGGTTATGGAGGTTTATGGCGATTGCGAGAGAAAGCATGATGGTCATCGGTTCAAGGATGTCGGCGACGAGACGAGTGCCGTTCCTGCGTTCATCTGTTCGCTCGACTTTTCGGAGATCTACTTGATGAAGAGTGACAGAGAGTTCCTGGAAAAGGTCAAGAAGGCTTGCGAAGAGAAATCTCGGGACGAGGAGGAGGAGGAGGAGGAGGAAGACGGGGATACCAATCTCGAGGCTGCCGGTGAAGAGGACGAAGGCGCCGAGGGTAGCGCTAAGGGCAGCCCTTCAGGAAGGGGACAGAATCCTGGTGGAAAGATAGGTGGATCTTCGAGAACCAAACCACTGATGCCGGCCTAGCTCTGCGAGATCTGTAACGCCATGTTCTGTGTGAAAATGGAGTGCCTCGTCAATACTTCGTATTGAAGATTGATCAGCCTGGAGGGAGTGAGTGAAAAGGGGCGTTGCCCCTGGCAATCTGCCAAGCAAGCCTTTCTACAAAGGAGTACAACTTGCACTGCTTGTCAGTTCGGTTGCTTGGCATCCGTGTTCATGGGTCAAACCAAGGACCCAGCCCTGCCTCCAGCTCCGCTTGGCATCTCAAGAGTCCTCTTCCCCTTCTTGGCTGCCAGTTCTTGTCCTTCTCGTTCTCTGCTGATCTTAACCAGGGCTACGGTCAAAAGGCCTCGCATGGTTGCAGAGAACCGAATTTGCCGAGCCGTGCCGACAGCGGTCCAGAAGCTTGATGGCGGAGGCAATCTGGATGAATGCCGAAGCAACCTGTGCTCCAATCGGATGGCGAGCATGCGAGTCGTTGGGGAAACGCAACCAATATTGGCCGAACTGCAACTCCTCACATTTCTAAGAGTAGCAGGTAGGTAGGTATGGACATACAGACGAACGATCCGAGTTGTGATCAGGTAGGAATGGCTGCCTTTGGGTTGCCTTGCTTCCGCTTGTCACCACCGTCTGCATGAGCTGAATGCCGACTTGCACAGCCGTAGTCCTCAATCCACGAACCAGGCTCGCCCGTCCGGTGGGGGGCTTCAGGCGCAATTTGAAGAGCTTTGGTTGTTCGCCATCCCGTTGTTCGATCCTATTTAGCCTGCCGAGCTGGGTTCGATCCCGCTGCAAGGAACGCGCCCCGAGGGTCTTCGGCCGGTTCGGCCGTCTTTTTCGACGTGTGATGGAGTATTCTTTGCCCGTCGAGACGCAGACGGGGTCGCGATGTCGCAGCGCAGATGGCGAAAGCGGCCGGGCCGGGGCCAGATGGAACGGGACTCGTCAGCTATCCAGGGTTTGCACTCTGCTGTTGTCTGCAGGTCTTGCGATTTGTGGGTTGACGGTTGCCCCTGGCCTTGCGTGTCGATGCCGGTACCCGTGAGACGGCTTCATAGCGCATACAAAATCCCCAGGTTCTGTTCCGATCGCCGGTTCGCCGGGCCGCCTGGTTGGTTTTCGTCGTTTGCTTTTTTGTGAGAAGTGCAGCCCAACCATCTCTCACGTCCGCTCGTTCACGCATACCATCTGTGATACGTAAATAGGTGACGGCGGCTTCATCTCGTGTTATCCCTGATCGTCACCATCTTTACCGCCCTGATTCGATGTATCACAAACTGGAATATTTCGGAATGCGCCTCATGGGCCTTTAACGGAACCCCTAGCCCTACCGATGCAGCCACCCGGGCCTCGCCGACAGTTAAAGAAGCTTGTTTGAGTAACAGATGACCACCACGAAGCCGCTGTCACTCGTTACACGCTCTCGTATCTGCCAGGGAAAGAAATTATTGGAGACCGGCCGTTCGGGACGGCCATCATCGGGAGCCAGTTGAAGTACCTTGATCGTTGAGCAATTCGGTGCCGCCATAACTATAGGACAGGGACGGCGGGGCGTTAGCATCCTCTGTCGCCTCCAAATCACGATAACAATTCGACGAAGCTCTGCAAACGGAGCCACGGCGATCAACAGGTTTCACTTGCAACGTCCTAGCCATTTTTGGCCGCGGAACGGCAACTGGACAAGATGCCCGGTACCTTTTTTACATCATGGGACCTGTGGCAGGAGATGACCTTTGTATGTCGCACTTTCTCTTTCCAGCCCTGTTCAGATAGCCGGGTGAAGTGTCTTCACTAACACACCACCGTAGGTCCTCGCTATGGCAATTGTCTGTGTCTTTTGCGCAGGTCTGGGCAAGCTGTGGTGGAACAATCGACTGATGAAGAAAAAAGAAGTGCTGGACAACGAAAAGAGGGCGCGGGTAGAGGAGATGCGCAAGACGGGCCTTCCGATGAAGCGGGCCAACACGGTCCCCTTCGGCGTTCGTGCCATCCAGAGCGGCATCGAAGTCGACGGCATATGGATATCTCGGCCGGCATCGCTCAACGAACTGGGAGAGAAACTGGCTTCCTCGACGACCCTCGCCGGCCGGGACTCAGATTCACAAAGCAAGGGGCGCGGCTACTACGAGGAGGAACGATCAACTCGCATCACCGCAACAAACCTCGGCCCCAAACCAAGCCCTTCCTCCGCCTCCATCTTCCAGAAGCTCACGGACACCGAATCCCTGGGAAGCAGCACGCCCTCCGCCGCACTACCCGTCTCGCAGTTCGCATACAACAAGACCAACACGAGGCATTCCTCCCGATCGGCCGGCACGTTGAACGAAGACACCCTGAGGCGCCTCGAAGGCCAGTCGCCGCCGCCGCCACGAAACCAACAGCACTGCGATATCTACATCCCGACCACTACCAACACCACCGCCGCCGCCGCCGCAACAATAACAACAACCACAGCCACAACCACCATACCCCCCACCTCCCCGCGCCGCCCCAACCCGCGCCGTCCCGGCGACCGCAGCTCGGTGGCTTCTTCCTCAGCCGACTCCATCGATTCGCAACCGCGCTCGTTCAAGAGCGCCAGCGACGGCCGCAGCTACACCTCCTCGCACAGTTCGAGGCTGTACATGGCGGCGGCGGCCGCCGCGCGGCACTCGCAGCAGCAGCAGCAGCAGCAGCAGCAGTCGCAACAACACCCGCAACAGTACCACCGACAACAGCACCACCACCACCAACACCAACAACAGCAACAGCAGCAGCAGCAATACGCGCCGGCGCCGCCGGACCCGACGTTTGGGCCGGGGGATCTGCACTTTAGCAACAACAGTCGGGCTTCGGGGAGGGCTGGCGAGGGGGTTTGAGATGCTTCCCGCGCGGGTGGGGGGTGGTGAGTGCTTGTAAGACGGTGGGTTGGGGTCGGAGATTGGGTCGGTGTCAAGAGGGTGCGGGGGTTGTGATTGAGAGTTTGGGGGGGTTGTATTTGTCAGATTGCGCAAGGGGATGTTAGGGTCACTTTTATTCGTATTGAAGTTACGTTCGCCGTTGGGTTGGTTGGTTTATGATGAAATTTGCTCGATGGCGTTTTGGGATGCAAAGGGAGCGATGATGTACTGGCTATTTGGAGATGGTAGGTTGCATGTTGCATTCATGTGGTTTAAAAACTGAAGTACGTATGTTGAAGATTCATATTTGGAATACATATTGATTGAGAATTCGGTGGTTGTGTACTCATTATGATGCTCTCAACAACTTTTCTTTTTCTTTTTCGTAGAAAAACAAAAGAAACAAAAAAACAAAGCTCGACGAATTCAATCAGAGGTTCTGGGTTCCAGGTTGTTATTTTTTGTGCTGAGCTGAGCTTGATGGGGGGTCGTGTGGGGCAGAATTGGCCGGAGTCCAAGCAGGCTTTTCAAGTGGTCACGGGGCTGCGCGTCTTCTGGGATCCACCAGACGCGTTGGTGCCTGGCCGATCTTTTACTGTCAACAGCCCGACCGTGGTTTACCAATCCCACGTTCCAGGATTTCTCGCTGCATAATTCCAAAAACAACACACACACGCAGCTTGGTATATGCAAACGCGACGCAAATGGCCGGACACGAGGAGTATGATGAGTCGGGGAGTGCCGAGGATGTCGGTCAGACCGGACCCGGCGCGCCGACCCCTCTCCTGGCATTAGAGGTGAGTTCTTGTTGTCCACGCCACGGTTTCGATTGACCGTAACTAACGTCTCTGGCATGAAGGGTGTTTCCGGGCTCACAAAACGTGAAATTCAAGCAATCGTCGAGTCAGGGCTTAATACGGTCGAGGCTGTCGCCTATACACCACAGAGGGTGCTTGAGCAGGTCAAGGGTATCTCATCACAGAAGGCAGCCAAGATTCTCGCCGAGGCTTCCAAGCTTGTGCCAATGGGTTTTACGACAGCGACCGAGATGCATCAGCGGCGCAGTGAGCTGATATCTATCACCACCGGCTCGAAGCAGCTGGACACCCTCCTCGCCGGCGGCATTGAGACCGGCAGCGTGACCGAACTTTTCGGCGAGTTCCGAACTGGAAAATCACAAATTTGCCACACGCTAGCCGTAACATGCCAGCTACCCTTCGACATGGGCGGCGGCGAGGGGAAGTGTCTGTACATCGACACCGAGGGTACATTCCGCCCCGTCCGACTACTCGCCGTTGCCAACCGCTACGGCCTCTCCGGCGAAGAGGTTCTCGACAATGTTGCGTACGCCCGAGCTTATAACTCGGACCATCAGCTGCAGCTTCTGAATCAAGCGGCGGCTATGATGTGTGAGACGCGCTTCAGCTTACTGGTCGTCGATTCTGCCACGTCGCTGTACAGAACAGATTTCCTAGGCCGTGGCGAACTGAACTCCAGACAGACACATCTTGCCAAGTTCCTACGCACTCTCCAACGACTCGCAGACGAGTTTGGCATCGCAGTCGTCATCACAAACCAGGTGGTGGCCCAGGTTGACGGTGGCCCGTCTGCCATGTTCAACCCCGACCCGAAGAAGCCAATTGGCGGCAACATTATGGCGCACTCCAGCACAACGAGAATCAGCTTGAAGAAGGGTCGCGGGGAGACGAGAATCGCCAAGATCTACGACAGTCCCTGCTTGCCCGAAGGCGATGCTCTGTTTGCCATCAACGAAGACGGCATTGGCGACCCGAGCCCGAAAGATCTGGAGAAGGAGTAAGTAACTTAATGAGGCTAGACCAATTAGTACAAGTGTTAGCTCGACATGGATGTCACGATGCATGGTGGGTTATGCGGGAAGCTGTGGTAGTTACAGCGTAGGAGTTATTGTTGGGCTTGGGATTTAGCTAGGTTATGCATGAAGGACTGGCGTTATATGGTAGTAGCTATTGAATGACAAGATGAATTATTTGCTTCGAGACGATAAAGATAAAGCATGCTGCATGTTTGTTGGTGTCCGGAAGTTTGTTCCTTTCACAAGCCCACAACTCACACTGAATGGCCCACTTCAATAGGGAGGTCCCTACCAGCTATGGTCTGTGCGCTGACTTGCCTGTGTCCATGCAAGGGTCACGGTGTGCTGCAACATCCAAGCTCCCCGCCAAGCTGCCATCTGCAAAGGCGGCCAGAATTCTGCCCTTGAAGCTCCAGACCGCGTCTACATCTCGAACAAACCGCGACAACATCGCCAACCCTATCCATTGTCGCCTACAACCGACACAGGGGGGCAAGATGGCCTCCAGAGACTTCGAGATATTCTACAAGGAGACGCGATTGAATTTAGAACCTGCGTCGCAATCATCGACCGTCCAAATCCGTGTCGCACCGCAGGGCGCCTATGGACGGTCGAGCTCAAGTCGGAGTGGCCCCTCGGCCGACGACGAAAAGGGATACAAATCGAAGAGTCTAGCGACAGCATCCTCCATTTACTACCGGAAATACAACGGCTCACCACGAGGCTTCATATGGCGGGTCTTGGATAACGGCAATGTCCTCAGTCTGCGCGTCGCCGATGTCTGCAAACAAGAGAAGGAGCCTGATGCGCCGCTCATCTTGAACCTCCGTTTTCCGACTCCGATTCGGACATCCTGCATCGGCTTTGCCGACTACGAAGACGGCGATGCGCTCTGCGTCTATGCTGTGGACCACTCCAACCAACTATGGTCGCTCACACTGCGGCCGGATCACTTTCGGAAACGGACCGCGACCGATGGGGGGCTAGGCGATGCTTGCAAGTCGTATTCGCCTCCGGGATTCGGGTTTAAGCATCCGCATAGACTGGCCGTTGTCAACCCTGACCAGCTGATCGTGACCATGCACGATGGCGGCATCTTGAAGTTCGACAGGAACAGGGCGTTTGACTGTAAGTCATGGGCTGCTCTGCGGTCACACTACGAGCCACCACTAACGTACTATCAATAGCAAATGGAGGGGCGTGGAAGGAAACCATCTACAACGTTGCCGGATGGGGGCAAAGTCTTCGGGGGTTGGTTCCCTTCCAACGAAACCCGACTATCAGGTACGACAAGGTCAACATGGAGTTGACGGCAGCCGCCTCGACAGCAGTTACGACCATGGGCCATTCCGAGACGGCATTCCTGTTTACCATCTGCCTGGATCACCGTATGAGAGTGTGGGATGTGCGGACCGGCCAGATTCTGTACACTGGCGACATTCTAAACACGAGGCGTGACCCCCAAGAAGTTGGCAAGTGGACCGTCGATCCGTCTCAGGGCAACCTGATCCGGATACTGGAGAGCGGCCGCGGGCAATGCCTGGTAGTGACATACTCCCCTGTTGGGGCTGGCGAGTTCAAGTTCTGGAAGGTGAAGGCAAACGATCAGGGGTCGGTACACGTCGCGGATTGCTTTCCAAACACCCACTTGATACCCCCCCGGCCCATCCTCACTGGACGTGTGGACTCTGGCGGATTTTGCTGTGACCCAGCAGCCTGACGGACCCGAGCTGTGGACGATGTGGAAGAACAACACCAGCTATCGCGTGCACAGGTTGCAAGTACAACCACAGAACGGGACGGAGCCTTTTGGCGACGGCTGGAAGGCGGTGCATGTCGACAACACGGTACCGACTGTGCGGGTGTCAGGGTCCTGGAACCCAACAGACTCGGCCGAGAAGTGGCTCGACCTCATCTTCTTCCCTGGCCGCTTCTCCAAATCGACCCTCGAGACAGCGCTGGCGATGTACGAGAAAGGATTGGGTACTTACAAGGAGTCGGCGTCCAAGGCCGGCAGGAGCATCGCAGAATCTATTTGCTCTGTACTAGGATCGACCACGACATTGGACCGGAGCCCATCAGGGGGCGCAGACTACGACCAGTTCAGAAACACGAGCGAGACTCAGTGGATGCGCTTCTGGCGACTCTTGCTCGAGCTCGATAAACAAAGGGGCGAAGCCCTCTCACTGGTCTTCGACCCCTTGGATGGTATGATCTGGGTTGCTTGCGCCGACTTGGTTGCCGCTGTCAGGCAGTGCAGCGACCTCGACCGTGTCTACTACAACCTCCAGTCTCCCGAAAAGAGGCACGAAGATGTCGCTGCGCTGGTGTCGGCCGGTTTGACCTTTGTGGACAGCTTTTCAGACAGCATGCACCAACTAAGCAATTCTGCTTTAAGGGCCGAGTTATATGGAAATTCGGCCCGGTCAGATAGCGAACGGATGCAGCTATTTTTGGACCGCGCTGGGTTCTGGCCCTCGATTACGGACGAGGATTTGGCCCAGGTGTTTGACACCCTGGGTCAGAACTACCAGATGGTGACAGCGCGGCTTTACGAGGACCTGTTCGACCTTATCACGGTGACGAGTGAGGCAAACTCTCAAGAGCTGCGGGAACCCTTCACGGGATTCGGAAGGAAAGTGGTCGTTCGTGCCGTACAGGAGACCATCGAGCTCCACTGGCAGATCCTCTTTAGCCAGCTCATCCTGCTTGTGCACATGGAGTTTGATATCGAAAGCGAGGACGCTTCTCCACTGCACTCGCGGTTCGAGGTCGGCTCAGTGTATCGCCGCCTGATCGATGCTCTCCGTAGACTGGAACACTTAAGGTGGATGGCGAAGACTGAGTTGAGCTTTTCAACAACAAAATCAGGTGGCTCCGGTTCCTCTTCGCCAGCCTTGACAAAGCGCGTCCAAGATGAGAATAACACCAAAACCGCTCTCGAAGGGCTGACCGGGCATCTTTTCGGACTTCCAGAGAGCAACAACGTGCCTCTACTCTCGAGCATCACCGATCTGGTGTTGGACCTTTGTGCTCCCAGCAGTACGACCGTCATCTACACCTGGCTGCTGCAGTGCTCGCTCCTCAAACAGGACCGGCCCGATCTTGCATTGGAGCTTCACCCCTTTGCTGATGAGGATGCATTTTCCACATACGTCCAAGGCCGCGTCTTCCTCGCGCTCAGGGACCACGACACAGCTTCCTTTTACTTCAAAAAGGCCGCCATTGGCCTGAGCATTTCCCTCAAACACTTAGACAGACACAGCGCGGGGCTTCTCGACGACACAGAATGGAATCTCCTTAACAGCGGGCTTCCAAACTACTACTCCCACATCGTCAGCCTCTACGACCGGCAAAAGGCCTACTCCTTCGTCATGGAGTTCTCCCGCCTCGCGCTGCAGTTCGTCCAACAAGGAGGTAGCAATAACAACAACCACGAAGCCACGGGCGCTATCAAAACCGAGATGCTCAGCCGCCTCTTCGCGGCCGCCACCTCCATCTCGCACTTCGAGGAAGCCCACTCGGCCCTGCTCTCCCTCGACGACGAAGCCCTCCAGAAATCCTACCTCCGCCGCCTCGTCGAGAAGATGTGCGAGACGGGCCAGAGCTCCGAGCTCATCACGCTGCCCTTCTCGGGCCTGCAGACCAAGGTCGACGACATGCTGGTCGACAAGTGCCGCGCCGCCCGCGACGTGCTCGCCGGCGTCCCCTACCACCAGATCCTCTACGCCTGGCGCATCAGCCACAACGACTACCGCGGCGCCGCCGCCGTCCTGCTCGACCGCCTGCAGAAGCTGCGCCGCGCCGGCGAGGGCGATCGCGTCGCCGGTGGCGGTGGCGGTGTGAGCTCGAATAACGCAGCCGGCGCCGTCGACGACGCCCTTGACACCCAGGTCACCAGGCAGTACCTGCTGCTGATCAATGCCCTGAGCTGTGTCCCGCCGCAGGAGGCGTATATCCTGGAAGATGTGCTCCCTGGTGGGAGCGACGAGGATGGGGACCAGCGGGGTAGCAAGACGGGGGGCGATGATCTGGAGGCGCAGGTGGACGAGCTTGTGAAGAGGCTGGATGCGGAGGCGGCCCAGGACGTTGGTGGTGGTGGTGAGGGTGGTGACAACGAAACGGAGGAGGAGGAGGATGCGCCGCTGCTGGAGAAGATGAAGAGGTTCTCGGCGCGGAGCGGAAAGCAGTTGCCGCCGCGGCGGTTCCTTATGCTGGCCGATATCCGGAAGCAGTACCAGCAGGAGTTGGACAGGATCGTGGCGATCCAGAACAACCAGTTTGGGTTTAGCCCCGAGGATGATTTGATGGATTTAGCGTGAGGGTAAGTGGGATGGGGGACGCGGGGTAGATGATGGGGATGAGGATCTGGGGCGGGAATGCAAAGGACATGGTTTCTGTAATGGTTTTTAGTGTAAAGGTTTTAGCGTCCAGGAAAATGGATACCTCTTTGATGATGTCGGCATGATGACAGGGGTTGGTGTTATTGCTTGGGAGGGGATCACGATGGCAGGACATAGGTCCCTTAAGGAGCCGATGGAAAGTTGAGAACAAACACCCGTATCAATTGACGCCATGCCCATGCTGAAGAATTACCTCCCCGCTTGTCCATACAATTCACTAACATTGCGCTACCCCTCCGTTTCCCGTTCCTCCGACTATAAAATCATGCCGCGCTGGTACCCGCCATTATTTGCTTATTTTCCGGTGGCGGCGCCGGTAACGCTCCTTGGTCTTGGGAATTGGCCAATTCGGGCGCTTGCCGGTAGAGAATGATCTCGGACTGTTTGAAATACCTCCTCGCATCTGTAAAGCCATGTTAGAATATCTCAGGCAGCGGGAAAAGGGTGATTAATGTGAGTTTACCTTCATCGATCAAGACTAAACTGAGGTAGTATCTTGTCGAGAACTTCTTGTTGACGTCCCGGAAGGTTGGGGTCAAGTCAAAGCCACCCAGGAACAACCGGATGGGAATGGTCTCTCCCCGTGATGGTGAGCCGTCCATGATCTGTAAGATGTAAGTGTTAGTTTCCCAAGCCTTTGGTCCCATTGTCGCCGATAAGGGCTCGCTTACCTCAAACCGCACCAGCGTCTCGCTCTCATTGTACTGGTTCGGCGCGGCGCCCGTCGTCTCCCGACGGATGATGCTAAGCTCCATATGCTTGATCTTGAGTCGCACGAGTAGGAAGTAGATGCGGCCAACAATAACGTCCTTGAGGTGGTACTTGCTCTTGCTGTACTCAAACTCAATGTGCAAACAGTCCTCGATGCCGACGTCCATCTTGATGCTGCTGTTCATCTCGGGTGGGATCCGGTAGCTGTAGACCCAGATGTCCTTCTCGCGGATCACGTCGGCCATGCGGCGCGACACGGTGACGCGCACAAAGTAGCGCAGCTTGACGTTGATGCCGTTGTACGACTCGTACTGCTTCTCGACGTTCTTGAAGTTGAAATCGAAGGTCTGCGGGTGCTGCAGCTCGCCGGGCGCGGCCAGCTCTTGCACGAGGGAGAGGAACTCGTAATGGTTGCCTCGATCAAAGAACATCTCTGACGGTTGAACAACGATGTTAGCCAGAGCTAGCACAGCATCTCAAACTCCGCCTTCCATGGGCCCATACCTATTGTGCCAATGAATTGCACCTTGATGCCCGTGTGTTCTAACCGCTTGCCATCCTTTGGCCTCACAGTCACGGCACCCCTGACCGACTCGCCGTCCATATACAATGGAGCTTTCTCGCGCCGGTTCTTGTCCAGCTTGACATCGACCATTGACCGTTCGTCGGCATTGTCAAGAACAATGTCGATATCGACCGGAGTCGCAAAGAAGTACGACATGGTGGTATTCGATCGGGGAGAGCTCTGGGCGGGATGCGCGGGGGTGGGATCACATGCGCAAATCGCCGTAAAGTTTCAATGATAAGATCCTAGTAGGGAAGGCGAGGCGATAGTATCCGTAGAGCGAGGTAGCGGGTCGAGGTATCTTTGGTGTTCAAGAGTGTAAGCTCAGGAGTGGCAGTTGAATGTTCCCGCAATCAGCCACGGCTCAGGACCCTGCAGTGAAGCTACCGCGCGGCGTGCTTGCGGGCTGCGCAATCAAGTGGAGGTGGAGCTGGGCCTTGGCACGGATTGGGGACTTGGCTGATATGGCTGCGTCATCTGTACCTGGGCGGGTATTGATGAATCTCAGGTGGGTTGCTGGACACGGAACCTTTTTGGGCAAAACAGACAGGATTTAATTTATGTTATTTGTTACCTCTCCAAAACCTAACTGGGTCAGTTAACTTCCCAGATTTTACGAAATAATGGACATTTCATAAAACCGTCTGGGTCTTGACGCCAAGAACTACGTCTTATATGCAGTGTAAGTCCCTACATTGCCTGCACAGCAGCGAGAGGTAGCGCCAAGATACTCTTCATCTCCAGCGACAGGAAGCTGAGGAGACCGTGGCATAAGAGAAGACATGGTTTTGTCGTGCCAGTCATTAAAACTGCAACTTTCTTTCACCGCATCGAGGAAAGGCGAGAAATACCGAAACAGACTTCTACTTCCGATTCGAGAGATACGCAAATTGACCGGTGAACCGGGGTATGTGTGGCGGGCGCTGAAGTAATGAAAGTATCGACAAGTTTGCGTGCCCCTCACTATTGTGATTATGGTCAATTCCCGGGTTCTCTTAACTTGTAGGTATGCGCTGTGTCTGTGGTATCGCCGTGATGGTTCTTAAAAGTTTGGGGAAGAAACATGCTGGCCGGTCCCACTTTACTCCAGCCTCCGCCCTTCTCAGCCAATCGCTGAAGGACTTTCTCCTCTGCCCTAACAGAGCTTCAAAGCCGATCGGCGCACAACTGGAATTAATCCGGGGCCGCAAAATCGACGTTTTTTCTCGGGTTTGCATACTACCCTTTCGCCCACCTCGACGACGAAGCAACACCTCACCCCTCCTCACGTTCAGGTCCAAACGCAAAGATGCGCTACATCCACAGTGAGGAGACCCTCGAGGTCCCGGAGAACGGTACGTTTGCCAATTTGCATCCCGGTGTGCCGCAAGAAGAACCTGGAAAGAAAGACCGCCTGTGACCCGCGATCGACGACCGACACCGACCAAAGTGCACCGAGGAGGACGCGAGCGGGCATTGGGGGCTGGGTTCTCGGGGGGGGAATATGCGTGGTGGTTTTGGGGCAATTGCGAAATGGCTAGTTGCTGACCCATTGTTCCGCTTATAGTCAAGGTCACGATTAAGGCGAGGCTCGTTACGGTCGAGGGCCCCCGCGGCAAGCTCGTCAAGGACCTGGGCCACATCGCCGTCAGCTTCTCGGCTATCAAGAAGAACGTGATCGGCCTCGAGATCCACCATGGCGTCCGCAAGAACGTTGCTGCCCTCCGCACCGTCCGGACCCTCATCAACAACATGATCATCGGCGTGACCAAGGGCTTCAAGTACAAGATGCGTTACGTCTACGCCCATTTTCCCATCAACGTCAACCTGGAGCAGAACTCCGAGACGGGCAACTGGGAGGTCGAGATCCGGTACGTAACAATGGACGAATATCGGGGCGACCAGGGGCCGGCTTTGAAGAGGGACGAAGGGCCTGGACAAGCCGGGTTATGGCCAGACGCGGAAACAGGACAAGGACTGATTTGAATGTGCTACAGTAACTTCATCGGCGAGAAGATCGTCCGGAACGTCGTGATGCAGCCCGGTGTCGAAGTGGAGGTCTCGAAGGCGCAGAAGGATGAGCTGGTCCTCCACGGTAACTCGCTCGAGGCCGTCTCGCAAAGCGCTGCGGACATCCAGCAGATTTGCAGAGTGCGGAACAAGGATATCCGGAAGGTTCGTCCAATACACAAAATCGCGGGGCACCGACACCCGGCATCTCCCACACCACGGGCGAGGATAACGAGGCTAACACGCGACACAGTTCTTGGACGGCATCTACGTCTCGGAGAAGGGCAACGTGGTTGAGGAGTGATGGACATGCAGCCATGGGTTTCTTTGTGCTTTATGGGTCTCAACCGGAGTGGCAAGGGGTCAATGGGCATTTGCATGTTTTGTAGCGTAAAAATCGCTACTGCAAAATGGGCAACCTTCTGAACCACAAGTGCTGGGGGGGTGCACGCGCCAATACCCGCCGTCCTCGGGGTGCCTCGCTCTGCAGAGCTAATGATGACGAATCCCCGGCCCGCTGCGGCTACAGGCTTGTCTTGCTTGGACTGGTGGTTCAGTTTTTGGGCGAAGCGATCAGTTGATATACCTTTGATACCTCGATACCTCAAAGCTACTGCCGCATGGGGATACACAAATGCACATGAGAACGACACAATGTTGACAGATGGCTCGTATTATGGAAGCACCTCGAGGGTCATGATATGATATCTCGTCGCCGACTCCCCAGCTCGTCAACCATCTCTCATCAAAAGCCCGCCTCAGCCATCCGGCTATGTAAATGCTCTCGTTGACTAGACCCCCCCTCATCCTCATATCCTGCATCATCTCTTCATTCATGTTTCATCTTTCATCCTTCATCATCAGCGCTCATGCTGCACCGCTATCTCTTGCTCTAGGAGTCAGAAATCCTCCCATCATCTTATGTATCTACCGTGAACTCCGTAAAACGCCATCCGAAAAAGGGGGGGGGGAGATGTCCCTCTCAAAACATATATACTGGGGGAGAGGTAAAAAGCATGTACTCGTGAAGAGTGTTGTGTGTGTGTGTGTGTCTGTGTGGTGTGTGTTGGGAAATTACAGAGGGCGATATATTTGTCGCTGTCGTTGTTGTCGTCTGCCTTCAAGCCTTTAGGTATGAAGGCAAATGGGAAGAAGGTGGTTTAAGTTTTTTTTTTTTAGTTTTTTCATCATGGCCTCGGCGACCGTTGCGATCGTACTGATGGTCCTCTCGACCTCGACACGCGGGTGCGGGTGTGTGTCGTCCGGGTCACCCTGCTCGGCGCCCGGCTGTTCCGCGAGTGACGGGTTCGTCTGTCGCTGCTTCTTGAGCCTGTTTGGTTGATTGCGCGTTAGTCAAACTGTATCATCTCTCTCTCTCTCTCTCGTCCTCGGATGATGGGGGTTACTCACTTGGACTCGTGGCGGTGTAGGAATCCGACCAGTAGCTGCTAGCGACGTCGCTGCGGGTCTTGGCCGGAGCGGCCTTCTTCTTATGATCCCTCCTCAACCCCAGCAGCAAGGCCAGCGTACCCAACGCGGCGCCCATGCCCAGCAGACCGGCGCCCTTGCTCTTCTCCTTGCGGGCGCTGGCCGAGGCCGGACGCCCACCGTACCAGGAGCCGTGGTTGTCGCGGTGGGTGTGGGAGGAGCCGCGGCGCTCGTAGCGCTCCTCCTCGATGACCGTCTCCGTCTTCTTCTTGCGGCCGCCGATGCCCAGCAGAGCCAGCAGGCCGTGCCACAGGCCACGCACCACGCAGCACGCGCAGATGAGCAGCAGCAACGCCACGCCCGCGATCGTGCCGATGACGATGCCCGCGATCGCCCCGCCGCTCAGCCCGCCCGCCGTGCCCCCCGGGTTCACCGCGCCGGTGCTGGTGGCGGCCCCCGCGGCCGTGTCAGTGTTGGTGGTGGTCGCGGTGCCGCTGGTTACGCGGTAGGGCGCGCTGAAGGCCGTTGTGAGGGATTTGCGCTCCGGTGCCGGTCGGGGCCGGGCCGGGATCGGGACCGGGGCCGGGGATGTTCGCCATGCACTGTCCCTTGTAGGCGCAATATTGCCAGCTGGCGCAGCAGATGTTCCCGCAGGCAATCTGGCCCGAGCCCTCGGGTGGGACGCAGTCGCCGGTGCCGGGCGGGGCGGTCGCGGCCGGGACGAAGGAGTTGTAGGTCTTGGTGAAGGTCTGCGTCAGGGTCCATGTGGTCGTGTACCGAGCCCAGCCGCCGCCTGCGTCCGAGGAGCAGCCGGCAATGCCGTTGGCGGTGTAGCATTGGGTTCCCTCTTCGCAGCAGAACATGTTGTTGTAGCCGCAGTATTGGTTGCATTGGCGGGGCATGAGATAGCCGTAGCCCGCTGCGTGCAGGTCATCTTTCGGGAAAGGGTGGGCCGCAGCGTCGTGCGCAAAGCTTGCGAACAATAGCCATAGCGCCGAGCTGATGCCCAGGAGTGATGGCCGGGGCGCCATGTTTGGTGAGAATCGGGACGGGGCAATGCCCGGAGCTTAGACCCGGCGGTTTGTGGAGACCGACACGGTGCGCCGGCGGTCTGGCTCCCGGTCGGGGCGGGGCGGCGGAGCGGGGTGTTGAAAGCCGGCGAGGAATGTTAAAAAAAGTGTTGGCAAAAATGCTGGCTGTCGTTGCACTCTGTACTTGTTGTTTGTCCCTCTTCGACCGGTACCTGATGATCCCCAACTCGTCAAATTGGCGTTTCGGTCCGACCCGTGGAATGTGTTTTGGGTTGTTGGAACGCAGAGCTGCAGGCGATTCGCGAAAATGAGAGAGGGCGAATGAATGTCTGAGCTGCTGGGGTGAAAATGAGCGATTGGAGTCGCGAAATGCGAACCGCTCGTCCCAGGGCTCGATTGTTGTCGAGCAAAATGCAGGGCAAAGTTTCTGGACTCAGGAGAAAAAGTAAAGGGAAAATGGGGCGGGGGATTCTGCATGGGCGGGATTTATTGCAACCAAGGTTTAGTTTATGGCTGGTACGGTGAAGCTTGCTGGTCAGGCGCAATTGGTGTCCCCAACCTCCTCCAAAAGTTGACGACACTTGATGCGCCCAACCTCTCGCATTTCACGCCTTTTTTCACTCCCTCCACTGCCCCGCGACAACCCGTCACAACCAGCAAACCCCTGTTTGGCCATTGATCAAAAGTTCCAATTCACCATCAAGATGGGACCCTTCCTCCTGTTCCTTTCTGAATCAATCTCGTTCCTGACGCTAGAATGCCGCTTGATCAGATGTCGATTGAGTGGCTCGACTAAGTGGTCCAACCCTGGTAATTCTGTTGATGCAGCTCAGTGTGCTGCATGACGGGACGGGCACCGTCTGAGTTGGCATGCTGCAGGTCGCTGTCATACCCGAACCATGCTAACTTGTCTGGCCCTTTCGGAGCATGACACTCTCTATTGACAGCCAGCAACAGCCTCACAGCTCTCTCCCCTCCAGGCTCATTGCCCCGCCATTGCCGTGGTTTTGTGGCTGCCGGCTGGATCTTATCGACACGGATCCTTGTCGTTTCGTTTCTCCCCTGCCGCTCAGCCAAGCCAATCCTCGTCCTTCGCACCAAAGCCTACCGCCTTGGCGGACACCCCTGTCAATACGAGCTTGGTCAAACGCATCATGGTCGAAGTGCACCACCCTCTGGTCAAAAAAGCCGAACTCGAAGGGCGAGAAAAGAGAATCAAAAAAAAGAGAAAAAATGATAAATATCGAGATAAAGAAGAGATAAAGAAAACCGAGCAAAATAAATCAAATAAAAGAAACGGTGCCAAATAAAAACCCGACTTTGGGATTCCGAACGGGTTTCTTTTTGTCGAAGGTTTCGGCGGCATCTACACTTAGAGTTCGGCTTTTTTTGGCCAGAGAGCGTGCACGAAGAAGTTGGTCGCTGGGGGTGGAGAGTGAATGGCGCGCCATGCTGCTTCGTAAAAAACACCGTCATGACATAGGTAATACCGAACTGGCATGACATGACGGGAGCCATTTCAAGCATTTTGCCCAATTTCTCGGCCGCCATTGTCCCAAAACCATCGAAATAAATTAGTTAGGTAACCAGTTCACTCGTTACAGAGTTCCAGGTTGCAGCTGACAATGGACTGTCGCCGCCGCAGCAGGAAGCTGCAGGGCCCCGCTCACTGTGCAGTTACGTAACTGGGGTTGGCCGCCTTGCTCGACCCATGGAAGCCAGGGTTGGTTAGCTACCAGAGACTCCAACATCCAACAGGACTACAACATCCGAAGCTATCTTGAGCCTCATAATCGAGACCAGAAGCTTGTTTGCGCCGCCATGTTACTAGACCCGCCGCCGTATCTGGCATCGCTGCAAGGCAACGTCCGCCAGCGACTGATTCCGTGGGATGGCGCCGTGCGCGCAGGTTCCCTGACCGAAGACCAACTCGCCCGCATCCGCGCCGTCGACAAGGTCAAGCGAGATGTGCGCATACAAATCGTCGAGGCCGACTTGGATGGTTACCGCACACTATTCGTTGGAGAGCCAGGGAAGAAGAGCGTCCTCGAATCTGCCGCCAAGAGACAAGACGTAGTGCAGAACATCCTCGTCCTCTTGAGCGATCTGCTCGACTGTACGCCGCTCCGTTGCCCTATTGCCTACCTGACCTTAACAGCTGTCGCAATCAACTAACCCGTGGATTGAAGGCGTACCTGCGCTATCCAAAGCTATCATTCAGACTGGCGACCCCTACCGACATTTCCTTCCGCTCCTCGCGCACTCGTCCAACACCGAAGACCCGATTCCGCTCCTTACCTCGACCGTGCTCGTCAAGCTCATGGCTGGGTCTCGAGACGAGTCACCCGCGACGGTTGGCAAGGCGTTGCCCGTCATCTTCAGCTACCTATCGTCCCTGACTAAGATTTCGGACGCTGGGCTTCAGGACATTGGCGTGCAAGAGTACTCGTCTCTGCTCTACGGGCGGGCGACGAGGCAGCAGTTTTGGAAGCAGCGGAGCGAAACAGTCATCTCTCTTATCGAGATCCTTCCGAGCGGCGGCCGGCGTTGGTAACAGCGACGCTTTCGGCTAGCCTTTGGAGCGGTGCTACGGGGACGGTGAGGAGCGGGTTCGAAGGGTTCGCTCAGTGGCGGGGTTGGCCTCCAACTCTCTACGGGGTGCTGCTCGTGATGTGGCAGCTCAGTTTCGAGGACGAGGACATTGGCGACGACTTCAACGAGTA